AATTATTCTTTGTGGTATGCCTGTCGGCGAAGTAATTTACTTCATCAATATTAAATGAAATGCAAGAAAAAATGCGTAAAATTTAATATTCCGTACAAGGAAGTGTTGTGTACACATCAGATTTTTTTCTTATTGTACATATACATTCATGTTTTACAATTTCAAACGGAGATTAGACGTTACAAATTATATTTTGCAAATTCTGAATATTTATGAAGAAGGCGAAGGCTAAAGCAGTAAGAAAGTTATATTAGCACATTCTGCTTACTTTGCACCATTAATTGTCTTGCTGCTCATTAGTTTCGTATTAACGAAACATATTTTGCGAAGATATTTAATATGTTAGACACAAAATAACGTGTTGTACATTGTAAATACATATTCATATCTGTATGTTGTTAAATTCTTGCCACTGATTGATTCCGTATTAAAGAAATACATTTTGAATATTTTAAATGTTATATAATATATTATATTTGCAGTCTTCATAGCACGGAAGTAAATGTAAAACATAAAAAAGCATGACAAACATAAAATTCGCTAAAATAGATTTCATTAAGATAAGTAAATAATAGGACCGAAAGTCTCGTAAAATACTGGATGTTTTCAGATTCTATTTACGTGAAATTTCAAAGGTTTGCAAACTGGTTTTTATATATTACTTAATATCTAGCAAATTCCACATTTTTAAAATAAACTCAAATTCTTGGTAAGTAGGAGGTATTGCATTAGGTGCTAGGAGTCGGAGAATTAGAGAACTGAAGTTAAGAAAGATTTTGTAAATGGCATAAGTTAAAAACTTAAAAAACTTTGAAAGTTTTTTAAAACTTTGTAAATTATCACAATTTGTGCTAAGAAAATTGAAGACAACGTGTAGTTTCGAATATTTTTGTTTTCTAAAAGTTTGTAAGAATTAAGCCTGGAAATTCTCCTGTGCAGGGTTCTTGAAGTGTAATTGCGAATTATGCTCACATTCAAATAAATAATTATATATGGTTCTAGAGTATCCATAAATATAGTTATTGCTGAAATATTGCCAACACATGAGGAGTGGTTCATATCCCGATTGTTAACGGGATTAACGTTACACGTTAAAAATGGTCTACGTCCCGACTCCCTACGCTAGAGTTGCTCTCGATGTCCTTGCTCACTAGAGCGGATACTTTTTTTTTTTTTTTTACTTATTACGTGCTTCGCCCATAGGCACACGGAAAGAGAGGGATGCCACGTAAAGGTCTTTTTAAGGGAAACTGACTCGTATACGCGTTACACATGGGGAAAAACGCGAAAACGCCCATGCAGCCAGCTCGTTCTGCTGGACTCGAACCCCAGATCGAACTACCAGTGTTCAGCGGCTTTTACAGCTCGGCCGCTGGGGTTGGGATAAAATGATACCTTCTACATCTTTATGCTCAACTCCGGTAAATACCTGAATGCCTTAGGTGCTCTTTTTATAAATTTATTTTTAGGTATGTTATCAGGTTTTTGTAGTTAATAAATATCAGAATATCTTTTGAATTCTGCAGCGTATTTTGTTAATGAATCGGCTTTTTAATTAAATTCCAGTATATGTAGGGATCTAAGTTAGACTGGGTTCATAATTTGAAGAAAATTGTAATAACTGTTTGCAGATTTTGGAAACCAGACCAGCCTGAAAATTACCATTTATTGCTTTTAGACTTGATTCTTTGTCTGCTGGGATTGAAAAAGTCATTAGAATTTTTTTTTGTTTTTTTTTTTGAATGAGATGGGGAAAATCTAGTGAAGTAGTCTGTAAAGTTGTCCCTTGACTTCCTTTAGGTGTGGGATCCGAGTGAGTACATCATCAATTAAGACCCCAAAATATTTCATATTTCTAATTATGTTTACCATTTTGCTATGAAAATTGATACAAAATGTTTGTAGATGGCTTTTGCTTGGGCAGCTCATAACACCTTATGCTTTTGAGCTGGCAATGGTTAGTTTATGATCACTGGCTCATTTGGCCTTCTTGTGATTGCTTTTTACGTTCTAGTTTCATGGGAGCTGCTATTGTGTCCCTTAACAACTAGCAAAATGTCATTGGTGTAAGCCACTATTTCCATGTTAAGGTCTGCATTGGACACGTTAAGCGCTAGCAGCAGACTCAAACAAGATCCTTGGGGTCAGGCCTTTATTGATAGATCGTGAATGAACACTTGCATGCCTTATAGCTTTCACGAACAAGCCTTGTCATATCACCTGTCAAACTATATAATGATTATGCAGCTTAAGTGTGATGCTGGCTGTGGAAAAATACAATTAAGCCCTCTGTTGGGGAAAGAGAGAAAAAAAAAAAAAAAAAAAAAAACGGAATTACTTTCCGAACAACCCAATAGAATGTACTAGGATCAAATATAATCGAAACTATCATTTGCAGAGAATTGCTGAAGTAAAAGCGTGGTCAAGTTTTTAAATTACCTAAATAGATACATTCATATTACGAAAGGATTTATGAATTATTTTATAAATGAAAAACAATTTAAGAAACTAGAACATTTCTCTAAATGATAAATATATGTAGAATAATGATTTTGTTACCTTGGCAGGAAAAAATGATTTGTTTGAAACTTAAAGCTGAAATTTAAAACCATTTTGAAGCTCATTTTGCCCAAAAGAAATACATTTACAATCCGTCTCTTTAAAATTCACAAAATACCCTTTGTATTCCATTAATTTAATACAAAAGAAAGAAATTTTATTAAAAAACATTATTCTCTATCGGTGCAGAAGTGGAAAACTAACACACAAAATTCCTTAAAATTTAGGATTTTATATTAAGTTAACCTATTCTTATATTGGTTCCTAAGGCCTTTGATGAATAATTTACAATCATTGTAGCGCCATTAGCAAAGCCAACGCTGAAAATGTTACGTTAGTGTGTGTGTGTAATTATGGCAAAGCCTCGAGGGCTATCTGCCTAAGGGGAGGGATGCCTTCGTGTAGGACTTTCTAAGGGAAACTGGCTCGTATACACGTTACACATGGGAAACCAAAACGCCCATTGCCAGCCCGTTCGCGGGTTAAGAACCTCGGACCGAACTACCAATGTTCAGCGACTTTACCGCTCGTCCGCTGGTGATGTTACGTTAGAAAAAAGCATTCGATATGACTATTAAGACCACCAGTGGCCGAACGGTAAAGTCCCTGAACACTGGTAGTTCGGTACGAGTTTCGAAATCCGCAAATGGGCTGGCTGCAGGGACGTTTTCGTGGTTTTACGCATGTGTAGCATGTTGATACGAGCCAGTTTCCCTTAGAAAGTCCTCCACAAAGGTATCCTTTCCTTCCTTGTAATTCCTCAGGGCAGAACATGTAAATAATAATAATGATATGACTGTTAAGTATTATTTGCATCATTTTTGTCGGACATTCATTCGTATGTTGTATTTGTACAGAAATTTCATGTCCAAAGGGAATCTATAACCAATAATCATGTGGAATTGAAAATTAGGAGCCCGTCTTTGAGTTAGGACAAAAATCAATATTCTGCTCTTCCGAAAAAATATTGAATATCGAAACGTGACGCTGAAAAAATAGTCTTCCGCTTCTTGAGTTTAGGAATTTAAATTATGGAAAGCACTCGAGTTATACCTATTTAAGGGGAGGGACGCCTTCGTAGAGAACTTTTTAAGGAAAATTGGTTCATATTCATATTACATTCATATTATCATTTACTTCTACGAAAGCTTTCACGCACCTAGCGGAGATTTGGACTAAAGTTGAATCTAAAACGTAACATATATTTTAAATTAAATATTAATATCATCATGCACTTGAATTAAATTTTAACACACAAAAAGCCTGAAAGATTTCAGGTTTTATACTACGTTTTGTGTGTTACCTTTATTTATTAAATCGTGTTCTTCGCGCTGAAACCATAAAATTCAATTCAGCAGCAGTATCACAAAATGATTTTAAAAGAGCATATCTTTAGAATTTTCGTTACACATTCTCTCGGCGCTGAAGATAAACATGTCTTTATCTTCCCGTACAGCACTGGCATTGCTCGCTTTGAAATAGTTGTGTTTGTTAATAAAAAAGTCGTTAAAGTTTTACAAACTATGAAATAGATAATAGAACAAATTCCAAATTTGGGCTTCCAAATGGTCCATATTCGAGTGGAGGACAATGTTATTCAAAATTTGATGTCTTTTCGTAAAGTTGGATTTTTCACAGCGCCAGAAACATACGCACAAGCATGCAGATTCTTCATTATTTAATTTCCTTAAATATAATGCAGGGCTCTAATGTTTGGTGGCAACCATTTGAAAGATGAAACGCTGTTTATAGTGAACCAACGCAAAATGGCAAAACGAAATTAATAGCCCTTCTGGGCAATTTGTTCTTTGGGCTAAAATTGAGTCGAATTAATTAAAATGAGAATGTATTGAGTGGAGGAAAGTCATAAAAGAAAGCAATTAATTTAAATAATGAACGAAATCAAGTAAATTTATTGTTTAGAATTTTATGTAAATTTCCAAAAAGAAGGGGGAAGAAGAAGTAAAGGAAAAAGCACTATTACTGTATGATTTGAACTTTACTATTATAGCCATACATGCCATGATTGGGCTACAAGAAGTAGATTTATAATGAGCTGTTTAATTATGATACACCAAATGAATAGCAAGGTTATTTGGACTAACGTTTAGTTTTATCAGATTTTGTAAATACAGGTTGTATAAATAAAAAGGTGAAACGTGTTTGTCTAGCTGTAAAAGAAGGGGAAAAAGTAGTTCCTGTAATGAATAAGCATACATCATTATCAGGCTAAATAGTTTGAACTAGGCAAATCGACGTCAAAATCTCATTTGTTTTCAGAAATGAGTACGTATGTTGAAGGAAATTACACAGCTGAAAAACAGTGCCAAAAAAAAAAAGTATTTTTCAATTTCATATCACAAAATGAGCGTATATGTAACAGAACCAAAGTTTTCAAACATGTGTCACGTAAAAATTATTTGAGATGATACAAGCTTCTGAAAATTTTATATTTTTATTTAATAATTAGGTAATTAGGGGTTTCATATTTTCAGGTAATACTGGATAAATAAAAAAACTCCTTTACGCTGCGCAGTAATACGTAATGTAAAATTACTTTACCCGATTGCATGAAAGAAAGTAAAGCGAACAGAGGTCCGGCAGACGCCGTTGGGTTCCAACAGATGGAACATAAGCATACTGCGCTGGTGCCTAGACCAAAATGTTCCAAATTATTGGATCGAATGTGGATCAGCATAATCTCCAGGTCTATTACCCTTGTCTTCAAAAAGTCATCATATCAGTACACTTGGATAGCTAGACTGTCATTCTGGAGATTTGCCAAAAAATTGATGCCAAAATGACGAAACTTCCAACAGCCAACAATTCAAAGAGGTATTTTGTGCGGCGTTTCAAGAAATCACTCACGATACATGGTTACAGATGAGCAAGTGGATGTGGAAACACATTAATGGAGAGTCACAAAGTTATTTTGGAATCGTAGCAGGTAAGTAATTTAAACGGACGTTTCGCCCATCCTGCACAGCTGCAGTTCCTTAAAGTGTTAATGTTATAATTCCCATAATGTGCTCGCTTTTGAAAATACTAAGACAAAAAAATAATATAAAACTTGAAAGGTTTCAGATTTTAAATTACGCCCAAAGGGGCGTTTCATAACATTTTGTGTGTTACCTATATTTATTAAATATCATGTTCTTCGCACTTAAACCATAATGTTCAGTTCAACAGGAATGTCGCAAAATAGTTTTAAATTAAGCATACCTTTAGAATTTTCGATACACAGTTCCGCGCGATGGAGATAAAAACTTATTTTCTGTACAACGGCGCCATTACTCGCTTTGAAATCCTTGAGTTTGTTGATCAAAAGTTTTACAAAATATGAAATCGACAATAAAACAAATTCCAAATTTCAAATTCGCAGGAGCATTACGTTATTCAAAATTGGATGGCTCTAGGTATCTTTGTTTTATTACAATGCGAGACACATACATACATTTATGCACATTGTTCATTATTTAATTTCTTTAAATATAACACAAAGCTCTAATATTTGGTGGCAACAATTTGAAAAGTGAAAAAACGCTTCTAGTGAATTAACGCAAAATGACAAAATGAAATTAGTCCTTCTGAGCAAATTTCCCCTTTAGACTAAAAGGATTTAAATTTCCCCTTTAGACTCGGACGTGGACAGCACATGACTTCCTTGTGCGGCTTATTAAATTACACATATTTTTTGCAGCAATTTATTCAAACTTATTTAATCGAATTACGCTAGTTTAATTAGACAATCTCTCAAGGCAAATTGAAAATGACATCAAAGATTGCAAATTTTGAAGTTATACATTTCAATCAAATTTTATCGTACGGGAGACAAATTTCTAATTTTATTTTTTCATAAGGAATATGAAACTTTCTAAAATGCGAGTATAGAATTGCATTAAAATTTAATTTCGCTGTTTGTCGAAAAACTACATTTATTTCAAAAATTTGATATTGCCGAAACTTGAATATTTTCGTCATTTATTGCACTTAAGTAATAGGAAATATATGACCACGACCAACGATTGCGAAAATAGAGGAAGGGTAAAGAGGTGTATATATAGAGTATATATAGATATATTCCCTTTCATATAACCAGGTTAAGTAATTTCATTTTATACATTATTACACAGCGTAAAGGAGCTTTTTTTATCCTGTATTACTTAAAAATATGAAAATCCTAATTATCTAATTATTCATTAAAAATATAAAATTTTAAAAAGCTTGTACCATCTTAAATAATTTTTATGTGACACAAGTTTGAAAACTTTCGTTCCGTTACATATAGGTTCATAAATTTTGTGATGAAATCAAAAGATACATTTTTTGTTCGTCTTTTCCAGCTGTATAATTTTCTCCACTCATTTCTGAAAACAAATGATATATATATATATGTTGGGTTCTACCGATTGTAATAAAAAGAGATGCACAATTAGATGTACTACAGTCCAATATACGAAATTTCAACGTTCTACGATTGATCGTTTTTGAGTTATGCGAAATATATACGTACATTCATACGTACTTATGTACGTACTTCCGCAGACGTGCCGAAAAAGATACTTTTAAATTCACTTTACAATCCATTACTTTAAATACATTTTACAATCCATTGTGGAGAAAAAGAAAACTGTTATTCTACCTGTACGTACAAGGGTTAAGCAAAAAATCGTCCAACTGGTTTCGGCAACGGTCAAAATGGATATTTCGGTTGAAATATGATACCAGAAATTTTTTCGCGATTACACTACTTCGTTTACTTCGCGCAAGTAAAAATGAATATTCATGGCTTTGTTGCCACACATGGATAACTTAATTTTTGAAAAATACTAGAAATTATTGTCTACCAAAGAAATTATAGCGACAAGAGCCTGCTCAAAGTTTAGCAGAAATCTGGATTTGGAAAAAAGGGGGATAAAATAATTTATAAGCTTTTCCTTGAAAATATATACAGCTACGACGAATCCGAACATTAATATTGTATTTTAGTAGAAATCTTATCGATATTTTTGATATTAAATCTCTGCTATAGGAAACAAAACTTACAGAAACCGTGTGCTGCAGGATTGAAACTACTATGTGGATATCACTGGTAAAAAAGGAAGGATAGTTTTATCGGTAAACTAAAAAATTGTGGTGTGTCGGTAGGTAACAAAAACCTATTATGCATTATACAAGTGACAATATAGAATATTATGCATATACTGAAGTGACAATATAGGATAGCAATATGCAAATATACAGATGACAGTAGTATCGCGTAGAAAATGTATAAATGCGAAGTGCTTTGGCAGGGCTTTTATTTGTGTTCAAGTTATTCATGTGAAGAGGCTTTGACGAGATTATGGCCGCACGACGAGAATTAACAGACCTTGAACGCGGAATGGTAGTTGGAGCTAGACGCATGGGTCATTCCATTTCGGATATCGTTAGAGAATAACAACATTCCGAGATCCACAGTGTCAAGAGTGTGCCGAGAGTATCTAATTTCAGCCATAACATCCCATCATGGACAGCGCAGTGGCCGACCACCTGCACTTAACGACCGAGACTAGCGACGTCTGTAGAGTTGTCAATGTTCACAGACAAGCAACACTGCGTCAAATAACCGCAGAAATCAATGTGGGACGTACGAGGGACGTGTCCGATAGGACAGTGCGGCGAAATTTGTCTTCCTTGGGCTATGCCAGCAAAAGACCGACTCTAGTGCCTTTACTGACAGCACGACATCGCCTGCAGCGACTCTCGTGGGCTCGTGAGCATATCGGTTGATCCCTAAACGAATGGAAAACCGTGGCTTGGCTTGTCAGATGAGTCACGATTTCAGTTGGTAAGAGTGATGGTGGGGTTCGAGTGTGGAGCAGACTCCACGAAGCCATGGACCCAAGTTGTTAACGAGGCACTGTTCAAGCTGGTGGTGGTTCCATAATGGTTTGGGCTGTTTTTACATGGCATGGACTCGGTCCTCTGGTGAAACTGAACCGATCATTGACTGGAAATGGATACCTTCAGCTACTTGGAGATCACTTACAGCCATTCATGGACTTCACGTACTCAAAAAACGATGGGATTTTTATGGATGACAATGCGCCATGTCAACGGGCCACAATTGTTCGCGATTGGTTTGAAGAACATTCTGGAAAATTCCAGCGAATGATCTGGCCACCTAGATCGCCCAACATGAATCCCATCGAACGTTTATGGGACATCATCGAGAGGTCAGTTCGTGCCCAAAACCCTGCACCGTCAACACTTTCACAATTATGGACGTCTATAGAGGCAGCATGGCTCAATATTCCTGCAGGGGACTTCCAGCGACTTGTTGAGTCCATGCCACGTCGAGTTGCTGCACTTCGCCGGGCAAAAGGAGGACCGACAAAATATTAGGAGGCATCCCATGACTTTTGTCACTTCAGTGCATATATGTACTAGAAGTTCTTCGAAAGGGCCAACACTTGTGATATTCTGTATCATTTCAGCCTGTTCCACTATGAAATCATTAATGAGAATAGGTATACTTTACGCCCGTTTGCTGCTTTCCTCCTAAACAAGAATCAAAATTTTCCCACATAATTTTGTTAATGAATTTGCATCTTATATTTTTTTGGCATGTAAGAATGACGTCTAGGGTCTTCTACATAGGTATCTTTTTCTCAAGTGTTAGACGGAATATTCGAGTGTTTTCTTCTTCCCACATGTAAACACGTCGAGAATTCCTCTGTAAAGCAAAGCCGGACACATTAGCGAAGGTAATAGACATCTGCTGATTTTCAGATCAGTTTACAAGACTACGTGTTCAATTCAAACTTTCCAGCCATTGGCGCGCAATGGCGGTCACCTAACAAACAAACATTTTTCATGCAGACTTCTTCGCACTGTGATGGTTGATACTGTCCTTGCTGTAAGTCTGTTCCCTAGAATCTTATGGGTTAAAGCTCATGTAGGCATCCAAGGAAATGACGAAGCTGACGCATTTAGTTCTCATCTATGGTCGAAATCATACCTAAAACTTTAACTTAACAATATAAAACTAAACATGGCAATATGAGGAAACATACCTAAAATTTTAACTTAACAATATAAAACTAAACATGTGGGAAAATGACTGGCAATGAGAAACAGGCAGAAGGCTATATACCCACAAGTATCTGAAAACTGTCTATAATCCAACCATCATATTAATTGCTTTTTCGCAAGACATGGCCCATTTCCCATATACTTTCATCAAAAAATATTTCAACAAGAAATTTATGTATATATGGGGAAATATGAGATCCAGAATATTATATTAGTATATGTTGCCTTATAAGTGCATCACACATTAGAATTCCTAATACAAACAAACTTCATAAAACATGCAATAAAAAATAAATATCTGCGCAAAAAATAGAAAAGACAATGATATACGTATTTGTCATCAAGAGGAGAAGAACACTTTTAATCAACCACTTCAATTTTATGGTTTTGTTAGGATTCGTTCATACAAATAGTATTTGATTTATTGAATTATTATCCGCTTATTATATTACTAGAAAGCCCGGCGGTCATACGAACTGACCGCTGTTCTAGACATTATAAATTGCAATTAAAATGATTTGTGCAAAGGTGTCTGCTAATTCAAACTGAATTACCCAGGGCAGGCGGCGAGGACGCCTCTTTGCTTACTGCCCCACGGGGTTTCCCCTTCTACTTGCTTAATTGCTTAAAGTAGAGTGCAATGAAGGAAGCCACTGGCGGTACATTTCTTAAGAGCCCATCTCTAGCTCAATAAATAAAGGTGATTTAAATAATAAAATATTAATTCACATGTCAAAGATCTCTTTGTACACAATATTTCTTGTATAGATCTTTCCATCATTTTTAAGCTCCCCTTGCAGACAACCATCCATTATTTCTAATTTTACGTCCGTTCTTTCAACAGCTCTTGAACAGGCAACATAAAGTTGACCGTGTCCAAATGCAGGCTCAGGTAAAAAAATGCCAACACTCTTAAGCGTTTGCCAGCGCTGTGCCGTGGCAACTTCACCCCATTGACTAGTACAGTTACGCAAGCAACCAATAAACTATCGGCGACTAACAGACACTTAAGCCGCATATAATAAAGATATTTATTTATTTCATTTGATTAGTTTTTCCATCGTTGCCGGTTTTTGCCGGTTGCATATTTCCGAATTTTTTTAAGAATTATTTAAGTTTTAAACTTTATGTCTTAATGAATTCAGAAACACACTGAATTATTTACTGCTTTCGTTGATCCCCCTCCCTTGTGACGATGCAGAAAAAGATATAAATTTATTTCTTTTTTGATTTTGGATTGTATTGCCCACTTTTCTTTCAGTTTGCCTCTGTGCTTCTGGTTTTTGCCTAGGTTTATTCCGAATCGAAGAAGGGATTATTTATTTTACGTTATATATACGTAAGTGTGTGTATTCTTATTAGAATTAGGAAAAATAGACTTTGGGCAGTTTAGGTTTTGTTAACTTCAATCGTTATTGTATTATTTCTTGATGTTACTTAAGGCACTGTTCATTGTTTCTCTTTGTTTAAAAAGTTTAAAATATACAGAAATTTAGAAAGATAATAATAAAAGCTTGTATGTTGTTCGCTTACGCCACAAAAAAAAAAAAAAAAAAAAAAAAAAAAAAAAAAAAACTATTACGTTACTAGCGTATCACGGACTCTTAAGAGACTACTAAAGATATTCTAAAGTATTTTTCATTTAATTAACTTAAATTACTTATGTAAATAACATGTCATTTTCCTTTAATAAGCCTAGCTTAACTACATAAACATATTTTCCTAATTCTATAAATTATTTTGTTGCCACTTCTAAGAAACTAAACTAACAAAAATTATTAGTGGCCAAACGACATTAAATAAAAAATTAAAGGAAAGTAAGTAATGTTATTCCTTTATTAATTTAAGTAAAACATTACTCATGTAAATAACATGTCATACTTCTTTAATAAGCCTAACTTAACGACATAAACATATTTTCTAATTCTTTTAAATTATTTTTTTGCCACTTCTAAGAAACTAAACTAGCAAAAATTATTAGTGGCCAAACGACATTAAATAAAAAATCTGATGTGTACACCACATGACATCCTTGTATTGGAATATTAAATTGGAATATTAAATTATACGCATTTTTTCTTGCATTTCATTTAAACTTATTGGATTGAATTAAATCTACTTCGCCGACAGCGCATAAACCACAATAGAATAAATGCATTCTTTAAAATTCACTCTAGAATTTGTTTACCATAGCGACACTCTGGCACTAGATTCACTTAACAGTATTAATAATTATACAGCAGTTAACTTATATAATAATTATATAACGGAAACTAAGTTAATCTGTTATATAATCCAATAATTATATAACAGTTAACTTATATATTTCGTTCATATTATAACTCATATGCACAAAATTTATATCATGTAAAGAATAGAATTATTTAACCGTTGCCACATGTTCTATTCAAATACTATAATAATGATGTATAAAAGAAATTAAGCAAACAAAACAAAAAAGAAACAGTTTTTTACAGACGATTGAGTATTTCTCACTTAATTAATTCAGTTCTCACTTCGCCAGAAGGCAAAAATACATAATAACTCAAAATATCTATATTAAAAATTACGAAGTAAATCTCAAACACTTATTTCCTCGAAAAAATTCTAGAAAGAATTAAGCATGATTTAATTGGCAATAATAAATGAATGCGTTATCTTTGTTGTTGCGAAGCTAAGTTTTTCTAGATTGGCAACAAATCCACTAGTCTCCTGTTTCAAATGTAAACGTCAACGGCCGCCATTAAAAAAGGCTTAGCGGCAATTAAACAACTTTAAAATTGCTGTTAATTCTAAAAATTTTGCACACAGATTTACTAAAGACATAAAATCCTTAACTTAAATTTTTACTCCCCAGATGGCGCCAGTGACACAATATCTCCTAATTCTGCCTGTTGAACATTTCTTTAATTCTAGAGTGTTACCAATGAATTCTTTTCACTTTTACTTCAGGGTTGCTTGACACCGAGTGGGTTGCTGTTATACGTGTTCTTCAGATTTTTGATTTCTCACAACGTGACTAAACGAGTTGAACAATACAGTATCAAATTTTGTCAGAAGTTTAGCGATTATCAAAGTGAAACAATTCGTAAGATTCAGCTAGTGTTTGGAGCCGATGCTAAGGGGTAACAAAAATTAAGGAGTAGTTCAACCGATTGAAAAATGGCCCCACATCAGTAGAGAGTAACCAACGTTCTAAGAGGCCGCAAACAGCTAGGATGCAGTTCTTGTTGAGAGGGAGGTAAAACAGGTGAAGAGAGATCGTCGTTTGACTGTATGAGAAATTGCCGAAGAAGCGCTACAAAAAGGCCAGACAGGAGCTAAGCTAGGTGATACTAACTGTACACTGGGGTGCAAAAATTAAGGACGAAGTCGAAAAATTAGCATATCCACTAAACGAAGAGGCAGAGCGGACAGAAAGACCAATCAGGAGATTAAGTAAGGTGATATGCGGTAGCACATACGCAGATATGCAGGTAGAAGTAATGGGGGGGGGAGTGTCTGAGTAGTATAAAGCATGTTGTCGGTGTAAGATCAGTATTTCTTGCAAAGAGATTGCACGCCGTATAGCAGTTAAAATCACACCGAGTTGCTGCCTCAGCGAGAAATGGCGAATAATCAATCTGTTAGACGACATCTGGATGCTTTTACCCGAGGTCGAATCATTGGGAAGTTGGAGGAAGGCCGCAGTGTGACAAGTGTGGCTGCAGAGTTCGGAATTGCTCACAACATTGTTTCACGACTTTGGAGACAATTTCAAACTACAGGAACAGCTATCCGGGGGTTTAGTAGTGGTCGTCCACGAGGAACCACACCGCAGATGACCGGTATATTGCCTTTACAGGCCAGAAAAAAGAGGCGGCAGACAGCGGGAGAAATCGCTAGACACAGGCGACTGGACGACCGATATCCCGTTTTACCGTGGCCAGAAGACTGCACGATGGTGGTCTGTTTGCACGACGCCCTGTACGGTGTGTACCTCTAACGGCTGCCCATCGGAGAAGGCGTTCTCTGTGGTGCCGGGAACACCGGAATTGGAGAGACAATGAATGGGGACGAGTACTCTTTACAGATGAGAGCAGATTCAGTCTGAGTAGCGATTCTCATCGCACACTCATCTGGAGAGAGCGGGGAAGCCGCAATCATCCCTCGAACATCATTGAAAGGGACAGGTATGGAGGTGGCGGTGTTCTCGTTTGGGGAGGCATCGTGCTTGGTAGTCGTACAGACTTCACATCTTCGACTCAGGTTCAGTCAACGAGATCCGTTATTGTAACGAGATTCTTCTTCCATATGTGCGTCTTTTTAGAGGCGCTATGGGTCCGCAGTTCCTTTTTATGGACGACAATGCACCATGTCATCGCACAGTAGCTGCCGAACAGCTATTAGAGAGTGAGGATATTGAACGTATCGATTGGCCGGCACGATCTCCGGATCTCAATCCCATCGAGCATGTATGGGATTTTCTAGGCAGACGCTTGGCAGCTCGTACCTTAAAACCAGTAACGATTCCGGATCTTCGATTGGCGCTGCAAGACGAATGGGCAGCAATACCTCAACACTCATTGACACCCTCATTCTCAGCATGGGCAGACGCTGTGAAACCTGCCTAGCAGTCAGGGGAGATCATATCCCCTATTAAAGACCGGATGTTTCTTGCTGGACACCCATCACAGGGATGTTTCGGGCTTCAGTTGCACTGCGCTCCATGCTACGTTTTCAATAAAGCTTCTTTTTATCCCTCTGATTTCTCTTTTAGTAAGTGTTGCTTACATTACTCATGTCCTTACGTATTGGGGATCTTACGGTATTAAATGTGTTGATTTGGAAAGCTTTTGTACAAAGTTATATTGAAAAAACCGTCTCGTCCTTAATTTTTGCACACCAGTGTATGTGTGGAACTGGTGTAGCTTTCCGCTGACTCCGTGATGCAGTTCGGCTCAAATGAGAAGACCTGGACGCGAAAAACTCTTAGCTGCATCATGACAATGCTCCAGTCTATTCGTTACAGTCCATCCAGACTTTCTTGGCGAAATATGGGACTTTAATCTTTCACACACCTCCTTACTCTTCAAATATGGTTCCTGGTTCTGATTTTTTTTCCGAAATTGAAGAAGACATCGAAAGAATCCCGTTTAGAGATTAGAGAAGACATAATGCAGAACGTTACGGTGGAGATGAATGTTATTCCAAAGAAACCTTCCAGAAGTGTTTTCGGCAGTGAGAGGATCATTGGGTAAAGTATGTAGAGACGCTAGGGGTCTATTTTGAAAAGGATTAGGGTCCCAATCACGTTACATTAAGTAATTTAATTTTTTCCGGCAAAAGATCGAATACTTTTTACACAGCCCTCGTATATTTAGTTCTCCTTTATGCATATATGCACACATTTTTCTCTTTTTTTTGCAGGTGAGGAAACATCTAAGCATGACTCTAAGAAAAGTAACTAAAACTACATAACAGAAGAAAAAATAGAGGAAACTTCAAAGCTGATATTCCTCCAATTACAACTCAACATCAATTTTCAGTCTGTATAAATAATTGTAGTAATAAAAGCAAAACTTTATTATGGAAGTTTTACAATACATATTCACAAATTTATCAAAATGTCGGCTTTAATTCACATTTATTTTATAAATGGAGTAATGTATAATAGTCCATATTGTAATTAATTAAATTTATATTTCACTATTAAAATAATACCATTGTTAGTGCTCACAATATAAATATACTGCTCAATAATTAAATAAAATAATATTCATTGCTATATATATATATATATATATTGCATGAATGTCTTCCTTTGGATATTTTAGATTGGGAGATTTCTGTGCCATGGAGTCTTATTAAGCATTAGTAGTGATTTTTTACAGTAATGCTTGATAAAAACAATTGATGCATTATTTTACGTAATAAAAATTTCAAAGCATTATTTTGATTATAAAAATTCATACAGTAAAACAACTGAGACGAATTCTATTGTAAATACTAACATGACAAAATCATAAATTGCAGATCATTTAATGTAACCAGCATGCTGTTTATGCATGCAACATTTTTACAACTAAAATTAAAGTTGCAAAGCAAATATTAAGAAATTCAGTAATGAACTGAAGAATAATATGCTTTTTCAAAATGAAAACTGCGAAGCGTAAAATATAAATACCTTCCTAAAAGCTTATTCAAAGAAACAACTAATATAGACTCCTGCTAAAACATAAGCAACAAATGCAAAACACAGAATTAAACAAAAGCTATTTAATGGATATGCATGAAACGATTCCAAGAGGTTGGTGTGGCGTTACTAGACCACGTAGCAAACAATAAAGCAAAGGCATCGGAAAACGCATGTATTACGACCATCACATTCCAAAAGACCAAAGAAGGTGCAGTGCAGAGTATGCAGAATATCATGCTAATAACGGGTACGATACCTTCTAGCTGAAATGCATACTTGACAACGGTGAGGCATTTAAGCTGGCAATAGTATCGTTGATTGCTTTGTGGCAGTAGTACCCATTGCTTTAGTAAGGCATGCTTGGAGCTCGTGGAGGGTGACTGGTGGCACATTGTGACCTGCTATCCGTTTTCCTGTGGAAGGTGACTGGCGACCCATTGCCGACCTCCTATCCGTTTTCCTGTGGAGGGTGGCTGGCTATCCGTTTTCCTGCCATTGTGACCTGCTATCCGTTTTCCTGCGGAGGGTGACTGGCGACCCATTGCGACCTGCTATCCGTTTTCCTGTGGAGGGTAACTGGCGACCCACTTCGACCTGCTATCCGTTTTTCTGTGGAGGGTGACTGGCTATCCATTGTGACCTGCTAATCCGTTTTCCTAACACGTCCCACACATACTCTATGGGATTCAGGTCCGGTGCTCTATCAGGCCACGGCAGATATGGAATTGTTTCACTTTCCAGATAACTGCGCTCCATTCGAGCGGTGGGTGTTATCGTCCAGAAATATCGCGTCGGTACCCATTGCAGAAATAAGGAACAGAAAGAAGAATGTGCAGAATTTTGTCGCGGTATTGCATAGCAGAAACGGAACCACATGAAATCACTTAGAGGTCGGCGCGGCCGTTCGTTTCTATCCCAGCCCATATAAGCTTGCCTTCTCCTATGTAATGTTCCTTTCGATGATGTTTGGCGCCTGATAGCCTGTCTTTGGTTCTCCCATATCACTTCACTTCGCGAATAGTTCTGAATGTTAAGCAGAGAGTCATCCGTGAAGAGAACGGGGCTTCACTGCTCTGGTGTCCGACTGCAATGTTCATGGACTTAATTCAACAATGGTCTGACATCCGATGGCGACAAAGGAACACTGAGCACAGGTCGTCGGGCGTACAATTTACCTTTATGCAGACGACGCGATACAGTTTGGCGGAACATAGCCGTCCTGCATCAGCAGAGAGATGCGACGCTAACTGTCGTGCTGTTACAAATCTATGGCGTCTTGGACATAACAACAGAAACGATCGTATGTCGTTATTGTAATCCTCCGGCGTCCAGATCTATGTCTTGATCCCTTTGGTAACATTCCACAGCCTACTGAACCCTAGAGGGAGCACCGTCTCGTTGCAAATGTAATCAGCATAGTTGGCGTTGGCGTTCAGCTAGGGTAACAAACAGGTTTCCAACATGCTTAGAAATGAGTCACCGATCACAGGTTCTTCCTCGAAGAAATATAGGCCGTTCATTTTCTCGCGGGACACCGCACAGTAAAACGTACACGAAACTCACGCTGCACTGAAAACCACCGATCTGGATACATAAAAGCGAACCACACAGAAAGCCTTTTCCTGTAGCGACGACATCTTGAAAACTGAAGTTGCGTCTGCGCAGTAAGCCTGACAAGGAAACAGCAGGTAGCATGGAGATCAGAAACATGAAGAATTGCCAGTGCTTACGGTGTAAATTTTACCACGGATAGGTAAAACATCGCTTTATTATTTAAATCTTTTAATTATTAATTTTTTAAACCGCACGTTTCATTTATAAACACCCTGTATATATAATATATATAAAATACAATATATGTATATGAAATATTTTAATTTTGAATTTTGATAATTGCGCTTAATTTACATACGCTCTCAGAATTTAAATGATATTGTAGATTAGTTTGCAGAAATAAGTAATCATTTATTTGTAATTAAATTTCATTTAAAATTTAATTAACTTTAAGTTTCCTTATTACGAATAGAGAATGTTTGTTAAATTCAAATTTCATTCCTTGCAGCAATGGCGCAAGAGAATTATTTAAATTTGTAAATTTAATTTAACTATATTCTTTTGAAACAATATATATATATAAGTGTGTGTGTTCGACGAAAAATTGATATATATGTATATATATACAGGGTGTCCTAAAATAGACTGACGGCTTTCAAAAACTTATAACAAGAAAACTGTTAAGGTTGAAAAAAATCAATTCTTGGAGCAACTCATGTGACCGGCATAAATATTTACTCCAAAAGTTCCTGGTTTTAGATCACACGATGTCACGGGTGATTAGACCAGAGCATTTTCAATGGGGGAAAAAAATCGTGCAAAGTTTCAACATATCGTGGCAGCAACAGCATAAATATGATGTACTAATACAGTGGAAAGTCTATTTAAAATTGAGTAAATATCTATCTCGCTAAACTGACGAAATATCGCCAAGCTGGCGATATTTTTGACGACCAATTTTTGTCGCAAAATCTGGCGAGAAATCACCTTTGGGTGCGGTCCCTGTATAACAAGGGCATTGTAATTGGACAACTGTAATTCATGCTATATTTGTATATATTTAGCTGTAACCGTATCCGGCCCTCATACGCATTTCAGTAATTCGAGAAATTACTAGAATTTTCTCGGCGGCCGGGAGAAAACTATATAAGACCGCAGAGAACATCAGTTTCTGGGTGGTAGTTGTTCGTTCAGTACTGAATTCGGAGTATTGAAATATTCGTAAGAGCTTTGCCTTTTAGATGCCCTTTGCATTGCGTTGTATTTAACGTTCTCAGTAATTTGAAATGTTATTTCTGATTGCACATTGTGATACTGTAAAGAGTTGTACGAGTATTTTTGTGGAACGTTCCAGAACTGTAAAGTGTTTTGGTAAAAAAAAAACAATTATCAAGATATCATGAATTCCGTGAGCCTTGAATCTCTTACGAGCCCGTACGCACGCAACAGTATGAATCTCATTTGCACAACCACTTTGGCCCTTGAGCGTCCATCAGCGGCCGAGCGGTAAAATAGCTGAACAGCAGTATTTTGGTCGGGGTTCGAATTCCGGCTGCATGGACATTTTTATGGTTTTCCCCATGTGTAACGTGTGCATGATCCAGTTCCCTCAGGAAGTCCTCCAGGAAGTCATCCGTCCCCTTACGCAGACTTGCCATTTTCAAATAAACCAAACTAAACTGGGCCTTCAACAACGATGACACAGCTCCGTAGATTGCAACATCAGTGAAGCAGCTGTTGAACATCCTTTTCGGAAAGTGTTCATTGTCAACCGTCATTTCTCAGCAGCCTGGCTGCGAATTTAGTCGACCCTTGCGACTTTTGGCTTTGGGAGCATTTTAAAAGGGCTGTGCACTTGGCTGATTTGAGAGCACGCATTTCGCATCACATCCAGCACATCACCACTGATACACTCGATATTTGGCGCAACATTACGCTTTCAAGTCATAGTAGAATATTATAAGTTGGACAACATGCTGAATATTTCTTGCGTTAGTCGCAGGTGTTAACATAATTTTCTTTCTGAGATGGTCGTATGAATTCTTAAATCATGTACTGCTAATTAAATTGCCCTTTTCCCCTAGCTGAATGCTGTAGCCTTTTGGTCATTAACATTCGTGTGTTTGAAGCGTATTAAGTTATAAATGCATTTTGAAAGTATTTTATTTTCCTTTTGTTTCGATTTTCCAAACAAATTCCATTTATGCATCTTCAGGTCAAATTTGAAGTCTGACCAGTGGCTCTTAAAGAATCTGAAAATTGGAACTTAAATTACAAAAATATAGACTGAAGATTATGTAATATAAGAAAATGTTTACAATATACTTTGGAAATTTGTTTCCTTTTTGAAATTTGTTATGCAGATTTATTCCATGTTTCGTGATGTCAGCGAGTTGTATAAATATTCGTCGCCAAGGAAATCAATAGTCGCCATCAGTTGCAACACTTGCGAAATGCTTGCTGCGTTAGGATCGATGATTTTAAAGTTTCGGCCGCACTCAATATTGGGCAATGTTGACCCTTTACCTGGTGGTACCACTAAAAGTCATCAACGATGTCTGAATCCTTATTCTGAGCTTTTGACAGGACTAAGAGATGTGGAACCTCGTTTTCGAAGAATAAATGAAACAGTTAATTTCAAATTTCGTGAAATACAAGAGGTTAGCCATTCTGGAGCTCCACGAGATTCTTTACCTTTTGATTCGTTTCTTAGAAAGCTTCCAGAAGCATATTTAAGTCGCACCAGTGAGACTCTGGATATTTGTATAAGGGCTGATGGCGGGAATCTTAAAGTTCGGTTGGGTATGAAAGGTATTATACCAGAAACCTTAAAAGTCAGTTT